GGATTCCACAATTTAAAACCTTTAACACCAGACTTATAACCAAGAAAGATGCACTTAACAGCCCTAAGCTCCAACTTTCCATTATCAACATGAGCATAAGCAGTGCAACCAAAAACTCTCAACTGTGAATAATCAGCAGGTGAACCAGACCATACCTCAATTGGAGTTTTCTTATTAAGAGCAATAGATGGTGACCGATTAATAAGATAACAAACAGTGGAAGCGGCCTCAGCCCAAAAACGCCTATGCAAACCTGCATTGGACAACATGCAACGGGCTCTGGAAATAATGGTCCTGTTCATACGCTCAGCAACACCATTTTGTTGAGGGGTATAAGGAACGGTGTAGTGTCTGACAATGCCTTCAGACTTGCAATAATTCTTAAATTGCTTAGAACAGAATTCTATACCATTATCAGTGTGAAGTATTTTTACCTTCTTTCCAGTTTGTCTCTCAATCATAATCTTCCACTCCTTAAAAGATGAGAATGCTTCATATTTATGCTTCAAGAAATAAGGCCATACTTTTCTCAAATAATCATCAATAATAGTCAGCATGTAACTAGCACCACCTAGTGACTTTCTCGAGATGGTCCCCATAAATCAGAATGCACATAATCAAGAATACCTTCAGTTGTATGGGTCGAAGTATTGAACTTCACCCTCTTGTGTTTGTCGAAGATACAATGCTCACAAAATTTCAATTTACCAGGTTCATATCCATCAAGAAGACCTCTTTTATTTAACTCTGACAAACCAAGTTCACTCATATGTCCAAGACGCATATGCCAAAGGTTAGCAGCATCACAATCAGAATTCTTTGAAATAGCTGGAGTAGCGTTACCTGACACGGTAGAACCTCGAAGGTAATAAAGACCATTGGTCGAGCTTAAGTCACCTTTCATCACAACAAGGGAACCTTTGGTGACTTTCAAAACACTATCTCCACCTGAATACTTGTATCCCTTTGCATCAAGGGCACTCATAGAAATAAGATTTCTCTTCATCTTCGGAATATACCGAACATCTGTCAAAGTTCTGATTATGCCATCAAACATCTTGATTCGAATAGAACCTATACCTTCAATATTGCATGGTGAATTATCAAAACCCAAAACGGAACCAACAGAAGTAGTGGAATCAAAAGTATTAAACCAATCTCTATGTGGACACATATGAAAAGTGCATGCAGTGTCAAGTACCCACTCATCATTGGTCTCGGCACATCCAGCAATAACGACAAGAGCATCATCGGAACTATCATCACGAGCAACGTTAGCAGAACTTTCACCTTGTTTGTTACCTTTCCTCTTTTCTTTATTTTGCAACTTGAAACACTCTGAGATGTCATGCCCGTCTCTCTTGCAATACCTGCAATATTTTTTGTCTCTGGATTGCGACCAGCCCCTGTAGCCGTTTTTACTTTTGCCTCTGTTTGCATTATTGGAGTTCTTCTACTTTGTCCTGCCACGAACAGATAATCCCTCGGCTTGGGATGAACTCGAACCATCATGAGGCACCATTAATTTCATCTTCTCCTTAGAGTTCAAAGCTTCATAAACTTCATTAAGTGTGAGAGTATGACGACTGTATAATATGGTGTCTCGAAAATTGGTATAAGAACTTAGCAGTGAACAAAGTAACATTAAAGCAGTATCTTCCTCTTCATACTTAACCTCCATTGCAGCTAGATCGGATATGATCTCTTTAAATTCGGAAATATGATTCAAAACATTACCTCCCTCGGGTAACCTGTGCAGGAATAATTTTTGCTTCAGATGCATCTTACTGGTGAGATCTTTAGTCATGCAAATCCCTTCCAGCTTTAACCATAGAGCGGCGGCAGTTTTCTCGCTCAAAACTTCCTGCAAAATATTATTATGCAAATGGAGTTGAATTTGTGACAAAGCCTTACAATCAATTCTTTTCTCCTCAGCAGTCCAGTCCTCAATTTGGTTCTTCCCAAAACTATCCAGTGCTACATCATAGTCAGCCTGTGCCAACAACACCCGCATCTTGACTTGCCATAGGGTAAACCTCGTGTCATGATCCAGCAGCGGAAAATCGTACTCCATGGATGCCATGAGTTGATAAACTGTGCACAAAGTAGTACAAGTCGTAAAAAAATTCTTAATAGAATTTAATTAATGCGGAGCAACGGAGTTGAAAAAATAGCACCTGAAAACTCTCGGTGGCTGTAGCAATTGGTAGAGAGAAACAAATCTGATTTACTAGTACTCAATTGTACTAGCCTTCACGTGAAAAATAGCAAGGCTACTACCAAGATCGATCTTGAAAAAAGTGAGTAATAGTAGTACTTGGCTTCTGTCTTCATGTCACGATCGGGAGCAGCAGCACCACAGGTGATGCCCTCGGGACTTGAAGCAGCGGCTCGGTTGATCTTGATCGGAAAGAGCGGCTGCTCCCTTGCTGATATGAACGCGTACGGCGAGGAGCAGCGGAGGTCTGGCACACGCAGCTTTTTAGGGCGGCTCAGCAGCAGAGGAGGTCAATCTCCTGTCGGTCTTGGTGACGTGCGGCTGCAGAAACTCTAGTCGGATTCGACGGATCGGCCGGACGCGTGCGGCGGCCGTAACCCTAATCTCTCGTCTCAAATCTCGTATCTGTAAACTTGGCTCTGTATACCACTTATTAAATAATAACGAGAAATAAACGAGATAAGGAGACACGGATTTTTACGTGGAAACCCTTGTGGGAGAAAACCACGGACGCATGAAGGCGCAATCACTATGAGGATGAGTATTACAAGCATAAGACGACAGACCGTCTGAGGTGCGACTAACACATATGAGTCCTTGTAGGACAAGTAAACGAGTTGTACTCGTACGCGTCGACGCCAACGCAAAAGCCCACAACGATTGTACTACGTCTAGCCTAACCCGGTATTAGAATTTGGATCGCAATTTAACAAGCCTTCACCATAGGGCGAGTATCACGGCACGGGGCATTGAGATAGATATGATCTGTCAGGTTTGCCGGCATTTGAATGAGGATGGGGAGCATACATTTCTGCGATGCAAGGAAGTGCACCAAGTATGGCGTCTGCTGGGCATGGAAAACAAAAGATGCAAGCTGGTGGAAGCTTCAGGTCTAAAGGAGATGCTGCATATGGCACTGCACATGGGAAGCAAGCATATGATCAAGAGTACGGCGCTGTTGTGGACGTGGTGGAAAACGAGGAACGAAATCAATGCTGGACAAGGAATTCTGAAAATCGATGAGGTGGTAGCCATGGTAGGCAGATGTGTAGTCGAATACGAAGAATTCTACCTTCCGCATCTGAGAACTAACCTAACTGGGCAGTGGAGCAGAAGCGAAACTGCCGGTCACCGTTGTGGGAAAAATCAACTGCGATGGGGCTTTCGATCCAAACAACAATGCCAGTGTGGCTGGGGGAGAGGCTGAAGGGGGCTGTGTTAGGTGGCAGCAGCAGGTCGTCTCCACAGGGCAGCTGCTGCTTTACAAGCTCAAGCGATTGCATGTCTAAGCAGCTGTTCGTGCCGCAGCAGACCGGGCTATCCAGCGACTGGAGGCGGAACCAGGCATGAACCTCAGGACTTCATCCAAACAGCCCCTATGTCCTAGAACTTGCACATGATAAAGTAGCTGACACTGTTGCAGCTCATGGTACGAAGCTGGGGGGACAATGTGTCCACATCCTCAAACGGATGTGATATAATGTGTTCACATCCTTTTCTTATGTCACTTAGTTAGGTAATAATGTGGATGCCCCTTGGGAAATTTTTAGCTTGTGACTGGAATCCCCCGTTTGTTCGAGGCTTGCTGGTGATCCTTACAGGTTGTTTTGGTCAAGAAATCAACAGTTTTCCTGCAAAAAAAAAAAAGAAATTAACAGTTGAATGGGTTATTCCCTCTCACCTCGGTTGACGGTATCTTCAAAATGCTTATCTACATAATACAACTTTGGAGGCCATCGGCAAAGAGTCATGACAGAACATGAATGGGAGCCGCAATGGCGATGATCAACGCATTTCGCTCATCGATTACGAGGTACGTGGATTAAGCCTTTCGCTGTGGTGCTTCGTAACCTTCTGGTTTGGACCGTAATTTGTAAGAGCATCTCCAACAGCCGCGCCAAAAGACGCGCGTGTGCGGTAAATTAGCTTATAGCGCGCGGGGGATGTTTTCGCGCGCTCTAGCTGTGGCGCGAAACTAACGCGCGCGGGAAAAGGCGACCGCTCGCGTGCTACATTTGGCGCGCCGCGTCCGGCGCGCCTATAAATTACAGCGCCTCCGCCGCTCTCTCCATTGCCCTTTGCTGCTCTCTCCATCTCTCCATCGCCCCCTACCGCGCTCTGCCGCCGACACGCCACCACCGCGCCACAATGCCGCCTCGGCGCCGGGGAGGTACGGGCTACCGCGGCGTCTGCGTGCGTGCGTCCGGCACCTACTCCGCCGAGATTTGGTCGGGCGGCTGCATGCGGTTCCGTCTCGGAACTCCGGCGACGAGCGGTTCCTTGACGCCTACGCTCCGACGTCAGAGGAGGACATCATTGAGACAGAGTCCAAGTCGGACGAGTAGTAGTAGAACTATCTACGAAACCAAATATGTAGTAGAAAAAACTAAAATATAGCGCGCCTGCTGGAGCGGCGTGGATGCGCTTTAATTTGCGGCGGCCGCTGGAGCCAGCGCACCACTGCGAGCAAAAGCTGGCTAATCCGGTGCTGTATCGCGACTTTTAGCGTGCGGCGCGTTGCGCGGCTGTTGGAGATGCTTAAACTGATGAACTTGACGTGGTGTGTTTTCATGTTTGTAGGACTTGTTGGTGCCGTTTGAGGCTTTTATATAAAGCCAGGGGAAAGCCTTTCGTATGACAATAGAAATCACACGGAGACGTGTGTTCACGTTAACACAGACGAAACATTACATGCTTATAGAAATATTCCCACAAGCACACATCACATGTAGGCACCATGCAGTCACTAGTGCCCCACTTAAGTGGTACATGCACCACTCGCTTATTCCCACACGACCATATCTTCCACAGCATTCATCTTCATCAGCACCAGAGCTGGGCCATCAAGGCAGCGTGTAATCTGTCGAAACAACGAAACCGGACTCAGCATTGCTACGACATTATCAGCAGATCATTCGTTAGCAATTACTCCCTCCGTTCCAAATTACTCGTCGCAAAAATGAATATATCTAGAACTAAAATACATCTAGATACATCCATACCTGCGACAAGTAATTCGGAATGGAGGGAGTATATAGGAGAGCATGTGCTTTGTAGGTACCTCCGCACTTGTAGCCGACGGGGCGGTCGGCCATGTTGCAGCGCTTGGGGATGGTGATGGCCACCTCGGGCTTGATCCCGGCCATCTTGGCGGTGCCGGACAGCATGACGGCGCACAGGCAGCTGGGGCTCTTCCCTAGGGTGTGCACCGCCGAGCAGCAGCTGCTGGAGGGCGCCGAGTCCGGCTCGTCCGCCGCCGAGATGCACGGGGCCATGCGCAGGGCCATCCGGTCGGGGGAGGACCTCCCGCACTCGCCGGCCCCCTCCGCGGCGCCCCCTCGCAGCGCCACCCCGGCCAGCGCCACGGCCAGAGCCAGGACGACGAGCGGCCTCATTGCCATCTCTCCCTGCCTTTCCTTGCTCCGACGTTCACTCACTTGTGGTGGTGGTTCTCGCAGTGACTAGTGCAGATCGCTCGCTGCTGCTGCCTGCTCTGGCATGGGTGGTGCCTCTTATATAGCGGTGGCATTGCGGCATTGTGGGGGGGCACCTCGTTATGGGTGGAGCACTTGGGACTCCTCTAGTCGCACTGGACACATGCTAATGGTTTCTCCACTTTGGATAGTGATGAAGGGTGTACACACTAGCCAGTGTGCTTCTGGTAGGACAGCACTTGCGCCGTGGACCTGCCATATAAACATTCTAAAACGTCCCACGCGCACTATGCGCTGTGGCCGGTACTAAGATACTAGGAAAGAACATGAACATCCACATAACTGATAATACTCTCTCTAGTCCTTTTTAATCTGCATATAAATTTCGTCCGAAGTCAAAATATCTCTACTTTGACCAAATTTATAGAAATAAGTATCAATAGTCACAATGCCAAATCAAGATTGTTAGATTTATT